GAATAGCTAGGGGACAGCTTCACTCACTTCAGCACTCCCACTGTTGAACCTCCCATAGTGACTGGGTGAGAGACAGACATGCGAGATAGCTACAGACAGGGAGACCACTCTGAGAGGTTTGAGCTCTGGCTGGGAAAGACACAAGACCCACTCCCCACAGGGCAAGGCCAGGCCTGGCTAAAGATGCACTGAGTACATGAAAAGGTTTCCAAAAGAAAGCCAGGAAACTGAAAATTTTCTTGACAGTATTGACAGCAGATGAGACCAAAGTAAGGACAGACTATCATAATTAGAAGATAGGGATGCTTTCAAAGACCAATTATTCAGAGAGACCTTAAAAACAAGAGAACATGAAAAATGGATCCAAAAGCTGCTAGATGACACAAAGATGACAAACCTAAGACTACCTACAAAAAGTGAAAAATCAGACAACAGTACAAATGGCATAAAAAAAAAAACCTGTTCACAGAAGTAATAAAAGAAAACATTCCAAATACTATATAGGGAAAGAAATAAACATACAGTAAGTGAGATATATAGAACCCCAAAGAGCCATAATCAAGACATCTCCACATCACATTACAGTCAAAAAACAAAGTCCAATACAGGACAAAATCTTAAAAGCTATTATAAGCCAGGCACACATCTGTAATCCCAGCACTTGGAAGGCTGAGGCAGGAGAATCGCTGTGAGTTCAAGACCTGCCTGGGCTACATAGTGAGTTCAACTACATAGTGAGACCCAGTCTCAAAAAAAACAAAAAACAAAAGGCTGGGGATTTAGCTCAGTGGTTCTGCCTCCTGCCTCGAAAGCTCAAGGACCCAAGTTCTATCCCCAGTACCAAAAAAAAAGCTATTACAGAAAAGCAACAAAGCACTTAAAAGGTAAATCCATCACAATTACAGCAGATTTCTCAACACAAACCTTAAAGAAAACTTAAAAGTGTTTCAAGCCCTAAAAGATAACAACTTCCAACTCATACTTATGTAGGTACAGGATTCCCTGTAGGTAGGGAAAAGACAGGATGAAGGCCTCACTGAGCTTTGTGAGAAGTTAATGGTAAGAAAATGTTCAAGTGGAAAGGGGAACAAGGGAGAGGGTGGAAGAAAGGAAGGAAGGGACAAGAAAAAAAGTAAAAATAAAAGGAAAAAACAGAAACAAAGCTTTTGCATATAGCGAGGGGAGGGAAACTGTGGAGATGGGGAATGGAAAAAAAAAGATGTAGGATATATCATATACTGGTGCAAATTCTCTATGATAAGTGTTATGTACCAATAAATGTTTTGCTCTAAAAAAAGAAGTTAACGGGGAGACTAAGGGCTTCTACAGATGGTTAACCAGAGGGGGCTTCTGCCTCTGCAGGTAAGACTCAAACAATCAGAAAGACAGAGGCAGCCAGACTCAGGAGCAGAAGAGCAGAGCAAGGGAGACAAAGGAAAAGAAACTAAGATGTCACGTAGTACAATTAACATAAGAATCACATATTTCCCCTTTATTTAATCCATAAACCTAAATTACACATCCATAGAACCCCATCCATAGTTCTATTCTCCAGAAAACAGCAGGAAAAGGTCATATAGGCAACTGGAAGATATCCACAGGGAAGACCAAAGATAGCCAGGGAGCCAATCAGATTCCATGAGCCTACATCGGAAGAAGAAACCCAATAAAAGAAGATGCAAACAAGGAATCTACAAGTTTTCCCTTTTGAAAACTCCCTATTCTCCAGAGTAGTGCTCTCTCCCTCTCTCCCATTCTCCCCTTTCCCCACCTCCAAATAAGTTGTCCGTTTTTATTTTAAATTCTGCTTATTTAGTTATTTTACTGATGCTGGGTTTAGGATTGCCAGGAGCTGCATGTTCCAGCAGAGCAGTGGCATGGTGTTCACCCCTCCCCAGATACATTTATATATCCTCCAAAACTTCTTTCAAAATTGATAGAGAGCTGGACAGTGGTGGTGTGCGCATATAATCCCAACTCTGGGGAGCACTCAGTCTGCCCAGAATTCAAAGCCAACCTGGACTACATAGTGAGGAGTTTAAGGCCAGCCTGAACTATATGGCAAGACCTTGTCTCAAAAGTAAATAATAAAAATAAAGCAAAAAAAAGCCCATAAAACAAAATTGGAGAAATAAGATATTTCCAAGACAAAGAGCACCTCAAGAAATCCATGACTATTTATAAGTGCCTTGGAATGGCTGTCGCCATTCTGATGAATAACCCCCTTCTTCACCTTAAGTTCCACTTTCCTATGTCAGGCATCACCAGTCATAAATGAGACACGTGGAGCAAGGCTTGTCCATATAAAGAATAGATCGCAAATAATGACCCCTGAGTGGCTGCCCATGCAGCTGACACAATCTCTGACCCACCTACACTAGTCACCCACCATATAACCAATCCCCTTCTACCCAGCACACGCTCTTTCTCTTCTCTTTCTCTCTCTCTCTCTCTCTCTCTTTCTCTCTCTCTCTCTCTCTCCCTCTCTCTCTTTCTCTCTCTCTCTCTCCCTCTCTCTCCCTCCCTCCCTTGTTCCCTTTACAATAAGCAAATAAGGCTCTCTCATAGAAACTCTGTCGGTGTGGGGAGTGATCCTTGGCAGGCACCAGCTTCTTTTAATTATCAAATGAGTACCCTCCAAAATTCCCAAGAATACTAGAAAACAGAGCTAAGAGACAACCTACAATGTGGGAAAAAATTTTTACGAGCTACTCCTCAGATAAAGGACTACTATCTAGAATATATAAAGAACTCAAAAAACAAGTCAGATACCCACAAACACAAAGACCCAATTCAAAAATGGGCATCTGAAATGAACAGACATTTCTCAGACAAAGAAGTAAACGCAGCAAATAAATATATGAAAAAATGTTCAATATCACTGGTCATTTCAGAGATGCAGACGAAAACCACATTGAGATTCCATCTTACCCCAGAAAGAATAGCTGCTATCAAGAAATTCACCAATAACAAATGCTAGCAGGGCTATGGGGAGAAAGGAACCCTTCTTCATTGTTGGTGGGAGTGCAGACTGGTGCAACCACTATGGAAATCAATATGGAGATATCTCAAAGAACTAGGATTAGAGGTTCCATTTGACCCAGCCATCCCTCTGCTGGGTCTTTCCAAAAGAATCATACCACAGTGATATATGTGCACCTATGTTTATAGTGGCAGTTTGTAATAGCTAAAACTTAGGAAAAACCCAAATGCCCGTCAACTGGAGACTGGATAAAGAAGACGTGTTTTTTTCTATAAAATGAGGTACTACTCAGCCATAAAGCACAAGAAACTAAAGAAATTTATAGCTAAAATGGATGCACATTGAGGCTATGTTCTTAAGTGAAATAAACAGGACCCACTTGAGTAAATACCGACTAGTTTCTCTGGTGTGAAAAACTAAAAGTGTAAATATGGTTCAAATGGTATTATCAATAATGTGAAACAGGAAGAAAATGGTTAAAGGGGAAGTGGGAAGGGAAGGGGAAAGGAAATAAGGGAAAAGAAAAAATATGAAAAAAGGAAAAAATGCAAACAAAGTCTTTGTAAATAGGGAAGGTTGAAGGGGGTGAAAGGAGGGCAGGGATATAGAGAAAAAATAAGATCCAAGACATATCATGGAAAGAAAAGTACAAGATCCCAATGATAAATGTAACTGTAGTTTGCTTTAAATGTACCAATAAACTTAATGCGGGGGGAGAATATCCTACAAAGAGACAAGCCAACAACGCCAAAAAATCTAATCTAATCTAACCAATCAGGTTGAGCAGTTAATCAGAAAGGGGGGAAAGAAATCATCAACAGGAAAATAATGCAATGATGTGATAAGGACAAGGCCTTATTGAGGTAGAAGATTAGGGCATGGCAAAGCTGACTAGGGTAACAGGTGCGGCTTGCTAATTACAAGATCATGAACATATGTGCAGAGCAGTTCCCAAAGCCCTGCACATGGACTCGCGCAAGACCACAAGCAGGTTTTCAATAGAATGGCCTACACCTTATTTCAGTCTAAGGCATGGAATCCCAGCACTGTCTCTTAGGACCCATCATAAGTAGAAGTTCTCTCAGGTTTCCTCAAGATTTGGACAGCATAAAAGAAAGGAAGTCATGAGGGGCTGGTGCTTTCGTAGCTATCCATAATAGCCTATGCTGTGTTTCCTAGACACAGTGTGTACTTTTATCTTTCCCCTTATCCTCTTTTTCTATTTACTCAGCCCAAGCTTGCTCTCCAGAGCCAGTGTTTCTCCCAGTCTTCACTTTTGTTTTCAAAAACACTTTGCCGATGCTTTTTGCTCATTTCATTTAAGTCTTTTTTTGAGACAAGAAGAACCTGGAATCCATCTCCAGAAGAAGAAGCAAGCAACCCCAAACCCAGAAAAATTTAGTTGACAAGCCACTTTTTTAGAACCCATAACAGTATCATTCAGTAATAACTCAATGTGAATGGTCTCAATTCCCCAATCAAAAGACACAGATTGGCAGCCTTGTGTGGAGCAAGCCCAAGGTGGAGATGGAAGGGAGCCCGGTCTTAGGCAAAGGGGATGGCTGGCCCATCGACCTTGAGTCCCCACAGAGAAAACACAAGTGCCAGTATGCAGGCTGCAAGAAAGTTTATGGGAAATCCTCACACCTCAAGGCACACCTAAGAATTCACACAGGTGAGTGAGTGGTCCTTCACCTGCAGCTGGCAGGACTATAAGAAGAATTTCACCACTCTAACAAGGTGGCATGGCATGACCACACACACATAGGCAAGAAGTAGTTCAGATGCCCATATGCAAGAAGTACCTGATGCACAGTGACCACCTGACGAAGCGCACAGGGTGCCAAACATGCTGCAAAGGTGCAGCGCGGGCTCGAAGACCTACTGACTCAGCAACCACAGCCACTCGGATGCTAGCAGCCCAACCATCAGCCCAGTCAACTCCCCTGGAGCAAAGCTGCAGTTCCTGGGACTCCAGGAACAACCTGATAACAGCCCGGAACAGCCACTCACCTACCTCCTCCTTCTCCTTGTGCCAGTCCCTGATCCTTCCTTTTGTACTATAAGAAAGCAGAGTGAGAGTGAGAACTTGATGAAAAATCCATGAAAAAAAAAACAAAAAAAAAACTTTTCTTCACCTCAGGTGTCAATGTCAATTTATTAAAAAAAAAAAAAAAAAAAAAGTGTGCAATGTGACTGCTAATCTTGGCTTCCTGGCCAAAATTCAGAAAAATTTCTTACAATCTATCTAATGTTACAGGAGATTTCTTCCCCTTTATTTGTTTCACCCTGCTGAACCATTGCCGTGTTCTCTTTATTAAAAAAAAAAAAAAAAATCCACAAATTGCACAAATAGTGATACCCAAGAAGTTGGATAGCACCAGGAAGGTCCAGATCCTCTAACTTTCCTGATTCGGAAATTTCCAGGGTTTGTCCTGGACACACTCAAGAGAATTTTGTAACAGAAGTTGGATGCACATTCCAGCTTACTACTGAGTAATGCCTGAGCACCACTGAGAGATGGGCCATCCCTCTTGCTGGTTGGCCCTGGCCCCATGACATGGCCTTGGCTTCTATTGACCCCCAGCTGAGCTACCAAATTTGCAGTGCAGCCACCTGGTCCTACCCAGCTTTAAAACTTTACTACTATTATTTAAAAACAAAGAGGATGAGAGAGAAGCCGCTTGCCCTGCCCTGTGTCCTGCATTGGTTGGGGTGCTCATGTGCAGATCTTTGGAGCTGTAGAGCCCTGGTTTCCCTGATGTCTTCCTAGGTAGAAAACAATTCTCCATGTAAGAGGAGCCTGGAAAAAAGCGGGGGTAGCTATCTTATTTGCAGACAAAGTAGATTTCAAACCCAATGTCTTTCTAGGGGATCTGCTGACAGGCTGCTGTGCAAGAGCATTCGGAAGCCTAGTGCATGAGCTTAGTGTATTCAAGGAGCCAACTGCAGCAAGTGGTCCATCCCATATAGCCCACAGCCTGTACTTGGACAGGGTTGCCAGACACCCCAGAAGAGGAGGACACTTTTTTGCATGACTCAGACACCAGGGGGTACCATGACCCCTTTTCCTGCCTGCTTCTGGGTGTGTGAGTGGGAGACTTTGTTTCCCAGCCTCACTCTTCAGAACCCACAGGTACTCAGTGCTGGGACCTGCATCAGTGTCAGTATCAGGCTCTGCTTGCTTTCTGCACATTGTTGGGTTCAGGGCTTGATGCAGCTCTGAGGATTTGCATTTGTGGTTGTGTTGGTCACTCCCAGGCAACCCTTCTCCTCCAAAACCACTGGTGGAGCATCTCTGGAATCCTTTACCAAAAATTCCAAGGCAGAATCCAAGGGTCCAAGACCATTTCCATCAAGCTCACGTTTCCCTTTCCTGTAGGAACTTCGTTCTTTCTTTTCTTTTTACCCAGCTCCCCACCATACTTCCAAAGGCCAGTTTTGATCTTTCTTGGATCACACAGTGAAGTATTAAGTTGTACAGTTCCCAATCTGGCCTTGGGTTTCTGAAAGAAAACTTTTCATATATTTTGTAAGGCACTGATTCTATATTGTAATGATGTCCTATGCAAAAAGAAAAAAATGAAATTTTTTGTAAATTTTATTGTTTTAATATGTGTTATGGCTTGTATTTAGATGTCCCCCAAAAGCCTCATGCAGTCATAAGTCAGGTGTTTTCAGAGGTGGCTGGATCTGGAGTGTGCGATGGTGGAATTGATTCATGGTGCAATGCTAGGATCCAGGCCACTAGGATTAAGGGTGTGAAGCAATCTGCCCTAAGTAGTCTGGATAAGATAAGGGATAGAAAGAGATATGGTTGTCTCTTGCTTACTTTTTGATACTTTCTGTCCACCATGCCATGCCACCTTGGAGCCAGTCTTATGGACTAAAACCTCTACAAACTGTGAGCTAAATAAACCTTTCCTCCTTTAACTTTGGGTGTCAAATACTTTGTCTCAGCAAAAAAAAAGTAACTAAGACAATGTATGAATGTTTACTGACATTTACATTTTTAAATAAAGTTTATGCTTCATTATTTTTTTAAAACACAGACTGGCAAAACAGATCAAGAAGTAAAACACAACAACATTATGCATTATATAAGAAACATATTAAATTCAAAAAGAAATACACTGATTAAAAAATCAAAGGTTGGAAAATAACATCCCATGCAACACGAATCTGGGAAGAAGCAGAAGTAGCTATCCTAATTTCAGACAAAGTAGATTTCAAGCCATAACTGATCAGAAGAGGGAAAACTGGTCATTACATATTGGTAAGGGAACAATTCAACAGGAACAGATGACAACTATAAACACATCCGCCAAACACCAGCACACCCAACTTCACAGAACAAACACTACTGGACATAAGAAATCAGATAAACACCACCACAAACAATGGAGGACCTCAATATCCCAATGCCACAAATAGATTAACTGGAGAAAAACTCAACAAAGAAATGTAAGAGTTGAACAAAACCTTCAAACTAATGAACCTGATAGACAGCTACAGTGTTCCACCCAGCCAACCACTGAATACACATTTTTCTCAGCAGCACATGGGACTTTCACCAAAACTGAACACATACTAACCCATAAAGTAAGCTTAAGTATATGTAAAAGAATAAAAATTATACTATGCATATATCAGATTATACTGCAGTAAAATTAAAAATCAATAGTAAAAGAAATCACAGAAACTATGGAAACTAAACAATACTCAAATAATCAAACAGTCAGAGAAGAAATCAAAGAAGAAATTTGTTCATAGAATCAAACAATAATGCCAGTATCACATATCAGAACCTATGGAAATCAATGGAAACTGTTAAGATAGAAGATTAGAACTGTGAATCCCCACATCAGAAAAAATAAATAGCCTACTGATATACCTCAAGGTCCTGGAAAAACAAAAGCAATGCAAATCCAAAGCTAGTAGTACACAGAAAGAAATTATAAAGATCGAGGTGAGAGCGAGGTGGTGCACTTAAATATAATAATAATAATAATAACAATAATAATAATTTAAAAAAAAGAAAGAAAGAGAAAAGAAAAAATTATTAAGATCAGAGAAGAAATTAATGAAATTGAGACTTAAAAAAAAAACAACTTGATAAATCAGAGCTGGTTCTTTGAAAGAATAAACAAAATAGACAACCACTTAGTGAATTTCTTTACCCCCTACAAAAAAGGATAATAATAATAATAATAACAATAATAATAATTTAAAAAAAAGAAAGAAAGAGAAAAGAAAAAATTATTAAGATCAGAGAAGAAATTAATGAAATTGAGACTTAAAAAAAAAACAACTTGATAAATCAGAGCTGGTTCTTTGAAAGAATAAACAAAATAGACAACCACTTAGTGAATTTCTTTACCCCCTACAAAAAAGGAAAAAAGACCCAAATCAATGCTATTAAAAATGAAAAATACAAAATCACAACAGATTTTGCCAAAATCCAGAAGATCATTACAAGAACATATACAATAAAGTGAAGAATTCAGAAGAAATTAGCAGATTCTAGAAATGTAAGAACTACCAAAATTGAACCAAAAAGACATTAAAATCCTTAATCCAATATTAAGCAATGAAATCAAAGAAGTAATAAAAAAAAAACTACCAAGAAAAGCCCAGTTGCAGGGATTCACTGCGGAATTCTACAATAATTTTAAAGAAAATCTAACACCAATCCTCCTCAAACTTTTAATGAAACTGAAAGGGAAGAAATACTCCCAGAGTCATTGCTGGAAGGTAACACTGCCCTGATTCCAAAGCCTGACAAGGACCCAAATAAAACAGACAACTACAGGCCAATCTCTTTAATGAAAATAGACACATCATCATGACCAAATGATTCATCCCAGGGATGCAGGGATGCTTCAACATGGGGATCAAAAACTTACAATGGCTGGGCATGGTAGTGCACACCTGTAATCCCCAGCACTCGGGAGGCTGAGGCAGGAGGATCCTTGTGAGTTCGAGACCAGCCTAGGCTACACAGTGAGTTCCAGGACAGTCTCAACAACATAGTGAAACCCTGTCTCAAAATAAATAAATAAATAAATTACAATCGAAGAAAGACAGCCTCTTTAAAAAATGGTGCTGAGAAAATTGGCTATCCACATGCAGAAGATTGAGCCTAGACTTACATCTCTCACCATGTACAAAACTAAAATCAAATGGATCAAAAATCTAAATATTAAAACAAAAGCACTTTCACCTTCTGGAAGATAAAATAGGTAAAACTCTTAAAGACATAGGTATAAGCAAGGACTTTCAGAATGGAACCCCAATTGCACAAGAAATAATACCAAGAATCAATACATGGGATCATATCAAATTTAAAAGCTCCTGTACGGCAAAGAAAACAACCAACAGACTGAAGATTAGGAAAAAAATTTTGCCAGCTATTCATCTATTCGTCAGACAGAATACTAATATCTAAAATATACAAAGAACCCAAAAAATTAGACAATCCAAAATAAAAGGCCCAGTGAAAAAAATGGTCAATTTAAATATACACATTGGGTTGGAGATTTAGCTCAGCGGTTCAGTAGCCTGCCTTGCAAGCACAAGGACCAAAGTTCAATCCCCGGTACCAAAAAAAAAAAAAAAAATTTACATTTATTCCTAGTGGGTTTTTTTGAGGGGGCCTTTTGTTGTTTTTGTGGTTGTTACTGGGGTTTGGGGGAGTTTTTTCTTATTGTGAATGGGACTTTCTTGATTTCTTTCTCAGTAAGTTTGTTTTGATGTATAAAAAAGTTACTGATTTTTAATATTGGTTTTGTATCCTGCAACTTTTTTTCATCTTAGTTTTTAGTTACATTTTTAGGGTTTTCTACATATATGATATGTCATCTTAAAACAGTGACAATCTGACTTCTTTTTCAATTTCCTTATCCTTTCTTTCCTGGCTTGGACATCCAGCACAATACTGAATAAGAGTGGAGACTGAAAGTGGGCATCCTTGTCTTGTTCCAGATGTTAAAAAACTCAGATTTTCGCTGTTCGGAATGTTAGCTGTTGATTATAAATGGCCTTTATTATGTTGAGGTATGTTCCTTCTATACCTAATTTGTCCAGTATTTTTATTATGAGTGGGTGTTGAATTGTATTAAAAGCCTTTCTGCAACTGTAACATGATCATATGGTTCTTGTCCTTCATTCTGTTGATGTGACGTATCTTATTTATGGATCTGCATATACTAAACCTTCTTTGTATCCCTTAGCTGAGTCCCCGCTAATCAAAGTGAATAATCTTAATGAGCTATTGGATTTGGTGTGCTAGTATTTTATTGAGGACTTCTACGTTTTTGTTCATTTAAGAATATTTGCCTGTAATTTTTTGTTTCGTGTCCTTATCTGGTTTCTAGTATTACGGTAATGCTGGTCTCACTGAATGTTTGGAAGAACTTCCTCTTCTCTTGTTGGGATTAACTTAAGGAAAACTGACATTGTTCTTCCTTGCATGTTTGGTAGAATTCAGCAATGAAGCCATCTGATTTTGGACTTTTCTTTGATGAGAGATTTTACTAATTCAATCTCATTTTTTGGTCTATTCATGATTCAGTCTTAGTAAGGTGTAAATATGTTTAAGAATTAGTCCATTTCTTCTAAGTTATCAAATTTGTTCACATAGAGTTGTTCATAATAATCTCTAGTGATTCTGTGGTGTTAGCTCTAATATGTCCCTTTTCATTTCTGGATAGAGGACATATCAGATATTAAATTGTCAAGAACAAACACACCATCTGATTTTAGCCAAATGGCCAAAAAGTGGTAAATTTTGAACTTCTGATACTCAATTTACATTCTTCTATATTATCTATCTTTTAACATATTAATGTGCATATTAATGTAGTTATTACACCATCTAATTATTTTTAGTTTTTATATTAAATACACAAATCATTTACACACCATGCTATTAGAACATTCTGGATTTGTATAATTTTCTTTTAAGTAAGTTGTATACCTTCCCATGTTTTCTTCTTACTCATTAACATCTCTTTCAGTTTGAAGTGTTAGGGTTATTTTGTTTTTCCTGAACTGGAAATTGAATGCAGGGGCACTCTACCACTGAGCTACTTTTTATTTTTATTTCAAGAGGGACTCGTTAAGTTACCTAGGCTGGCCTCAAACTTGGGACCCTCCTGCCTCAACCTGGGATTAAAGCCATGCCCTGCCACCAGACCATAAATAATACGTATTTGATGAATATTTCAAATAATCTTAAGTATACATAATTATTTTGAGGAAATAGAGGTTCAAAAAGGTAACTTGCTCAAAGAAGACACTTACATACTTTTGTCTCTTGACTCCAAAACCTTACTTTTAATATTCCATTACCTCACATAACATCTAACTAGAACTGCTACACAATTCATGGCATTCACAAATATTTGATGAATGAATGGGTAGCATAAAGCGTATATTTAAATTTATTAAATGCTATATAAAGGGGCTGGGATATAATTCTGTGGTAGAGGACAATTTTAGAAAAAGTACAAGGCCTTGGGTTCCATCCCCAGCACCAATAAATAAATGCCACACAAGGGCACAGGATAAAATTAAAGGTACAGATGGGCAGAGCTGAAGAAACATATGAATATAAAATGTACAATTAGGGCTCAGGATTTAGCTCAGTGGTTGCACTGCTTGCCTCACAAACACAAGGTCCCAAGTTCAATCCCTGGTACCAATAAAATAAAATAAAATGTACAATTACCCTTAAATCCAAAACAAAAGCATAAGTAGGACACAAAAGTAGGGAAGGAATATGAGAGAAAACCGGATGAATCATAATGCCCTAGGAAAATATCTTATATGAAGTGTTTCCAACTTATTAAACATGTCCTGTACAATTAAGGGTTTGTTTTTTTTTTATTTGGTTTAGGTTGAGATAGGGCCTCACTATGTATGTGGTTCAAGCTGGCCTTGAACTCACTATGCAGCCCAGTTTGACCTCAAACTCATGGTAAGTCTCCTGAATGCTGGAATTACATATGAGCCACCCCACCTGGCTTTACTGAGTTATTTAAATTGACATGCTCAAATTTGATAGCAAGGGTAGCTATACCACCAAATACACATAATTTCTTAAGGGCATATAAACAAATATCCTTCTCTATGGCACAGAACCACTGCAGAGTCACTACTGCTTTTCAAAGAATCATAGCGGATTAAGGGGTGGTTAATAAGAAGCATTAGAAATACCCCACAGAGGGCCAGGATTTAGCTCAGTGGTGCGTACCACCTGCCTCACAAGGGCAAGGTCCTGAGTTCCATCCCTGGTACCAACAACAACAAAAAAATAAATACCTCACAGAGAGCCAGGGATTCAGCTCAGTGGCACCGTGCCTGACTCACAAGCACAAGGTCCTGAGTTCTATCCCCCATACAAAAACAAAAACAAAACAAAACAAAAAAATACTCCACAGATGCAAATTCCAGAATTTCACTACTTTATGAGATTTAGTCACATTAAATTACTGCTCTCACAGAAATTTTAAGAGTAAAAAGAGTCACTGATTGGCCAATTTTTTGTTTTTTCTTTTTTTTTTTTTTTGAGACCAGGTCTTGCTGTGTAGTTAAGACTGCCCTTGAACTTACAATGCAGCAGCCCAGGCTGGCCTCAAACTTGAGGCAATCCTTCTGCTTCAGCCTCCTGAGTGCCAGTGGGATTACAGGTGTGTACTACCACATCTGGCCTTGATAGGCCAATTTAAACAAGCAAGCCAGCAAGCATACCTTCAACCACTTGTTTGCTTGCTTGGTTGGTTTTGTGTTGAAAAAAGTCTTGCTATGTAGTTTAGGCTGGCCTAGAACTCAGAGACCCTCTTGCCTCCCCCTCCCATGTGCTAGGATTACAAGTGTACACCACTATGCCCAGCTGTTGTTTTTGTTTTGTTTTGTTTTTAAATTGATATCTTTCAAGATGAACAGCTCACCAAATAATGGCTTATCTTCACCTACTTGAATTAAAGGTATAGAATGAATTACACTAACTACCTGTAAATGAGGAATGAGTCTGGATGCCAAGAGTAATCATGATAGTGATAAAGACCACAGAAGTAACCCAAAAAAGAGACTTGAATTTATTTCACAGGTAGTATTTTTGGTGGTGTCCTTGAAAATCCCCAAATATTATCTGTCATTTTCTTTCAGCATATCCATCATCTTGATGTATCTGAACAGTCACTGACAGGATAATTTTAAATCTTAATATTCTAGGTACCAAATCTATCAAAACAGCTTTGAAAACTTAGGTTGATAGGGATTCTATAAACAATTCTTTATCAATGACTGACTCTTACCCCTAAACAAGCCAGTATTTAAGAAATGTGGACAAAGCTTTCTTTAGCAACTGATTACAATGAACATAAATGCTTCTGTAACTGAAAAAGAAAAAGGCAAATGCACACCTATACATATATACATACATGCATACACACACACACACAATATCTTGTTTCCTGGTTTATAGATGGCTTCAGTTTAAGATAAGAGTGTAACAACAGAACTCAAACACACTTTGAGAAATAACTACAGCTACTCATTGAATCCTTGGACACTCTAGGTACCTCACACACGTCAGAGGTTATTTCTCCCAATAACACAGAGGTCCACATCAGTGCTTAATATGTGATGAAACTTAACAGTTGATAAATTGGTAAATAACTATGCTGGGAATTTAAAACTTGTGCCATCTGAATTCAAAACCAGACTTTCCTTGGGTTGGTTCTGCTGCCTGCTTTGCAGGCACAAGGACCCCAGTTCGATCCCTGGTACCAAAAAAAAAAAAAAACAGACTTTCCTTGATTCAACTACAATGAACTGCCACCCGCGACGGAAAAAAAAATAAAGGCAGAAGCATAACTTTTCATTTATCCCTCAGTGTTACTTATATCTCAGTATAATATAGCGACCAAACACAAATCAGGCTGCCTGGATTTATATGCAACTCCATCACTGATGACGTCCTATCTCCCAAGGATTAAGTGAAGGCGTAAGTGTAAAAGGCTCAAAACAACTCTGCCTGTCACAGTACACAGGAGAAACGCACCAGTTCTTCTGGAGGCAGTAAGTGGCATAAAGTAATAAGGATTCCCAAGGAAACCCCTCTCCCACCTCATGCAAACAACTAGTGAAAACAAATTTCACCTGCCCTCTCCCACCTCATGCAAACAACTAGTGAAAACAAATTTCACCTGACAACCAAAAGTAACTAGATGGAAGATGGGAACGCGAGGAGCCATTAGCGGAGCGGCCTGGTCGCCCTAACTATGGGGGAGGTCTGCGGGGACACAGCCACCGTCCCGGGAGTCAGCATGAGGGAAGGAGTGCCACAGCTCTTTTGGTGGAGAGCGGGAAGTGGCGACCCGCACACTCGCACCACGCAGGCCGCCTTCCGCGTGAGGGGGTCGAGCAGACGCCCTAAGGGAAAGCCCACAGCGGCGTCCCAAGGGACTGTATCAGAAGCGGTAAGAGCCCACACGAGCTACCACGACACCATGAGCATCGTGAGAGGTCCATGCAGGCGTCCGGAGAACCCCGGCGTCCACAGAACCCTACCGGCGTCTGGAGAGGCCTGCGTCGGTGTCGGGAGACGGCCCTAGTGTGAGGAGCCAGCGGCGGACAAGCTGGAAGCGAGAACGTTGAGAAGAGGGAAGGTAGAAGGCGAAGGAAGACAGCAAGTACTTTGCCGCCGGGCTCGGGCCGCCCCACAACGCCCCTCCCCCCGGAGGCTGGAAGTTTTAAGCTTACGCCGCGAGAGGGGAGGTGAGGGGTGTCAGGCGCGCCAGGCGAGGGCACCGCTGGGAAGCGGACGCGACCTACCGAAGAGCGCAGGCGCAGGCGCAGGCGCAGGACGGAACCAATCGCATCACTAGCGGGAGCCACGGCCAGGACAAAACAACGGCGCGAGATTGGACAGAAGGCAGCGAGCAGTCCTGGTTGGTCCTTGTATGAGCGGGCGGACTTATTTACTAGGGCTCTGCATGGTTGAAGGGGAAACCGTGGATGGCAAGAGGACACCTGAACTACTACGGTGAACCCTTCAAAGTTGACCACTGCCGCGCCAAGCCTCCCCTGGCCCTTTATTTTCATAGGACTACGTAAAAACTATCTCAGTAAAACGTTAAGGTCTGATCATTTCAGTAGAAGGAGATATTCTTGGAATAGTACTCAGAGATGGCAGGTGGCATTGTAAAACTAAAAGATACTTTTTAAATTTTCATTGGTGCACTTTACATATACATAATGATCATAACCATCACAGGGAATTTGTATCTAACAACACACACACACACACACGGAAATACAAAATGCAGACTGAGTATATTATTCTCGAGTTGATGTGAAGGATTTACACATGAGCCCTAAAGATCTGCATTTTCAATAGGACAACTCCCTTTCGTTCTGAGACCAGTCATATGCAGACCAATTTTCTATTGAAGTATACTACACATTCAGAAAAGTACAATCATAGGTGACAACTCACTTTTTAAATTAAAAATACAATTGTGTAATCATAACCCAAATCAAGAAAAAAAATATTGCAAGCTGCCGATAATTTCCCTGTGGGTCCCCATACTTTTGTTACTCCTCGAAAAAGAAAAACGATCATCATGTCTCTGTCATTAGTTTTGCCTGGTGTTTTTTCTTTATATAATTAGAATCAGATAGAAAGTGCTCTTTATGTCTGCCTACTAAAATACACTATTTGACATCAAGTGGGGAGCACTATTTTTTCAAAAGGCATCTTGTCCTTCGCTGTTCTGTTGTATAATCTTTGTCATAAATGGGTCTGTTTGTGTAATCTGTTTCATTGGTGTATTTCCCCTTTCCAGTGCCAATACCTGCTGCTTTAATTATTGTGGCTTTAAAATAAATCTTGATATCTGAAAAAAAACACACACAAAAACAAATCTTCAACATTTGGATGGTAGAACATAGGTCCATCATACTTAGTGCTTTTCTGAAACATTAAGTTCTGAAATGTCTTTGCCTAATCCTCCCAAGTCACTGACCTCCAACCCATCCTCCAAAACCCAGTTCAACCATTTCTACCTCCACCTCCTCTAACACCAGTTCATTTCTCCTGCTTGCTTCCTCAACTGCTGGGACATTCACTTTCCTGTGGCATACTGTGCCAGTTAATCTTGGAGTATTATAGACTCCTGAAGAAGTGACAGGGTTGTGACAGTGCTAACTGGACCAACAATTAGTGGGTGGAGCCTAGTTGAAGGAAGTGGACAAATAAGATGTGACCTTGAGAACTGTATCTGGCCCTTGGCTTCTTCCTCTGGGCTCTTCTCGTGTTTTTTGTTTGCCAGGTGCCATGAACTGAATACTTTCTCCACCAAAAGTAATAAGACACACCAACATTATGTGCACCCTGGTATGGTAGTATGGGTACCAAAATTATATAAGCTCGAATCTCTTAAAACTCTTGAGACCAAGAGATCTCTGGACTAAGAGTTTGTAACACTGGACAAAAGAAAGGCAGAATAGGGCACGGACAGCTTTGGGATAGGAGGGTGATCCATATGGAGAATTGTTTCTAGAATGTTGTGGCACCTAGGAGATTGTAAGGGGATTCAGAAATGTGAAATGATCTTTTGTTCTCTTCCAGCCTATAGCTTAACTGATTAATCTCCCCCTTTCCTTTTCCCTTCCACCCTCTGGCTCTATGTAATTAAATTTAGGACATCCCAAAATTTTTCTTTTCAAATCTAATAGCAAAACAGAGACAAATCCAAATGAAGAATGTTCTATAAAATAACTGGTTTTAGCCAGGGATTTAGCTCAGTGGCACCAGGCCTGCCTCAAAAGCACATGATCCTGAGTTTGATTCCTGCATCAGAAAAAGAAAAAAAGGATAACTGGTTTTTAGCCTATACTCTGAGAGACTGAGGCAAAAAGATTTCAAATTTATGCCCTGCCTGGGCAACACAGTGACTTGACAAGATCATGTTGTTGGGTAGTTCCTTTAGAAATGGCCCTCCATTTAAAACTATTCCAGGTATGGGGCCGGGGATGTAGCTCAGTGTCACCATGCCTGCCTGCCAAGCTCAAGGTCCTGAGTTCAATCCCTGGTACTGAAAAAAAAAAAACAAACAAACAAACAAAAAAAAAAAAACAG